GCGTTTTGTATCCATCACCATTTAATAGCTTGTTTCTTAGATATTTTGGCTGAAACTTCTCAGATTGAACTTTACCTTAATTACGTACTTAGCGGATCCACCCAATTAGGTATTTCGAACAAAATTATTCCTCAGCTAATTTTATTATCGCCTTATCTAATTAGGTGATTGTTCGCCTACAATCTGAATATACATACCTTTGCTTGTTTGTGGCGGCAAGCCCTCTGTTTTTCAGATTTCCGTCTCATCAAACCCTATATATTTTTATTGATCTAAACTCCGGTGTTGTCTGCGAGCGAAGCCTCCAAAATCCTGTTTTCACCTAGTTTCTTAGACCTGAGTTGTGATACTTTCCTGTGCTTGCGAAGTGAATTAAGATTTTTTTCCAAATTTACATATACGCTTAGGCACAACAATTGCGTTGTTCTAAGAATGAGCATATTTACGGGTTGTCGCCTGTATTTAGGCTGGCTTGAAAGCAGCATTATTGTGACCTTGGTGCCGTGGATAAGCGCATGACGAGGTGGCCCCACAATGACTTGCAGGAACTTAGCGTTTCCTACGGGATCGCTTCGTCCATCGTTCATTTGGCTTCATTGGCAGCGATTCCCAGCCCTGTTTTAGAGTCTCTAGCCAATTAGCTTTCACTAGCGGCTGATCGCAGTGTTAATCAAAGGCTACTATATTTTTGTCCTCCTTTAGAGTCTTCATCAACTTCGCCTCGAATGGAGCGCAGTACCCTAGCCGGAAGAAAAGGCGTAAAATTATTGATGTTATTCCGAGTGGAGTTTCCCTGTCCCCGTGCTCATAGATTCGCAGAAATGTCCTCCCCTTACATGCTTTTGCCTCAGGCAGTGACCGCCATACCCCTTCCAGCGCGCAGCAATTATCGGAAGATGGCGTTTAACGGATTATGTGAAGCTGTCTTGACGCAGTCTTTCGCTCGCCCTCCTGAGTTTAGACGTTGACTAGTGTAATCCATCATGCCTGGGGGTGATTTACGTCAGCTTACTTTGAAAGGTGCATTTTTATTCGGTCCGATAATTTAGCCTAATAACCGCATTATGATTGGAGTTGCACAAGTAACTGCGCGAGCTTGGGTTCGGGCTATTAAAACGTCCCAATCACGAGTTAAGCCAACTGGAATCCGGAATCGCTTAGACAGCCGTGCGGAGCTGCTGCCGTTTGGGCGTGTGGCAAGGTGATAGAGCCTAATGACCCAACAGGTTGAAATAATAAATCTTGGTTATACTAAGAATGGCGTTTTGTGGTAAGAGACAAATGAAGGCCATAACAATGTTAGGAAATGAGCCAATCAGAGACCGGCTTAAAGGGCTGGTCTCATGAAGCTAGAAGTTCGGTATTCAGACTCGTATATTTGTGGGTGTATTCTCATAATATGGAGCAGATGCAGAGATCATTGGTGGACCGCACTCTTTAGGATGAACTTTGCATCCTATGCTTGACTTTATTTTTACTATAGTTTGCTTGATTTAGCATGGATATGCCTATTATCTGAGTTCCTAGTTTTGGACTTCTGTCTGCCGAATAGTATCGTCCCGTAGCCAAAAGGGTGTTACCCGGGGTATTTTCACATATCAGATATTCGACAAAGACTTATAATAGTGGTGAGATTTAGATCCGAGCAAATACTATTAATAAACTATTCTGACTAGCTGGCCCTCAGTGTAAAGGGGCCAATTCTATCAGAAAATATGAGTCAAGAGCTTGGGTGACGATCCAGCCCAAATACACGTGTAAAGGGGGAGAATGTATATGCGGTCCCCAGCTCTTCGCTATATATACTTTATGATTTGGATAGGGATCTTTGATCAATGGTCTGGTAGGTTGAATCTCGTAAAGAATGTCGATAATAAGTATTGGATATTCAATGACGCTCTAGGAAACGCGCCGCACTAAGGAAATGTGAAGGTAGATGCTGTGAAGAACAAGCTGACCATGGGATTATGGAAGCAACCTAATGGACTTAATAAATAAGTGGAATGAAATACATATGTACTGGGAACTAGGAGTAATTTACGAAAATTAAAATGCAGATGGGAATGAAAAGAAGACTGGTCGGACGCTACACGGATTGTTGGAAGATGCCGCTTAGAATTTTATGGAAACTAAGCTCCTAATCTTTCATATGCTGCGTAAGTAGCTATTAAAAGTGCAAGTGAGAATGATATGGAAATGTGAAAGTTAACCAGCGTTAATGGCGCTTGGCTGGCAATGGCAGCAAAGTCTCAAAATGAACGCTAGCTTAAGCACACCAATAATAGCGGGTCCTAATTGTCGGATTTGCGATTTACCGAAGTAGCGGTCAACATATTTTGGGTTGGGGCTGTAGAAACAAGCCGGATACAGCAGAGTATTGGTGCCATGTAACCAATGCGTTTTGCAGCCACATTGTTGAAGAAGACAACAGTGAATAAATATTTAATTTACAGAAGAATAATTGACAATCAAAATAATTTAGTAAGAAAATAGGGCTCGTGAAA